TCTCTATGAAGATCTAGAGAGCCCTTGTCCAGAAAAGATTCCTTTTCAGGTCTGGAGTTCAGTTTTTTTAACCCTAAAATGACAGGGCTGACCTGGACCATCTTCAGGGCACTTTTTCCACTGTAAAATTATATGCCATTTTAGAATCATCATTTTTATTTTTAAATTGGGCTGACTTGATATAGAATAAAACAGAGAACTAGAGGAAAATGAATAAGAAAATCCAAGCCACTTTATATAGGAAAAAATAAGAACCTTGTAGACTTGAAGTATTCAGATGTCATAAATTAAAAGATATGATTTCTAAAACTTCACTTTATAGTTTACAATTATTTTGTAATGCAGTTAACAATATTCAGAATGTCTTCATTTGGAGACATATTAATTTCAAATATTCTTCTAACATGTCACTTCTTCTAAAAGTACAAAACAGCAGTAAAAATTCTTATGGGCTAGGTAGGGGTAGACTATTTGCCCAGCATACTTCAGGCCTTGGGTTCAATGCTCATAATTGCAAACAAAAAAACACACCTAGAAGACAAATGTGATGTTAATTTGTAGCAGCATTTAAGGCAGATTGCTTCTCTAGGTTCATAGCAAAAGAGTATTTTCAAAAGCACACAAACCTAGGAAGTTGCATACTTCTCGACTGTAGTAGTTTGGTACTATATTATCAAGGGATGCATTTCTCACTTTTGTATAAAAATCATTATGACATCTAAAGACAAGTTTATGTTTTTTTCTTTTTCTTTTCTATCTTGGTTACATTTCTCTAGTTATGGAGACAAAATACCCAACACACAAAATTAAAGAGGGAACGGTTTATTTAGCTCACAGTTTGTGGAGGTTTCAGTCCACAGTCACCTGGCTCCAAGGAAGGGTGGCATGGCAGAGGAGCAACAGTTCATGGCAGAAGCAGACAGCAAAAGCAACAAGAGCAAAAAAGGAGGAGTAGCAGAAAGCAAGCCTCTTTCTCTCCCTTATATTGTATGTAGGATGCCCGCCCCCAGGGTGGGTATAGCACTCATACCCATAATCCTAGCACTGGACCGTGAATCAGTCACAAACTCTAAAAGCCTACACCCATGACTTTATGAGGCTTTGGGAGAACATCTAGATACAAACCATAAAATTTTCTCTTTGATTTTTAAAATTGATGCTTCATGTAACTTAAATTCCAGAGTTTAGAAGTAAATGCTTCTAGTTGGGCATGGTGGTGCATGCTAATAATCCCAGCACTCTGGAATGCTGAGGCAGGAGGATCACAAATAGAGCTCATTCTGGGCAACTTAATAAAAAGCTGAGGGGATAATGCCAAAAGGGATAAATTGAATGAACATTTTTTTCTGACATCAAATTTAAGATAATAAAAGCAATATATCTAATTGGAACAATAGTAAGGTAAATTGTCTGCAATATTATAAAAGGTTAGCATGGTGGCATGTGCTTGCAATCCCAGCACTCTGGGAGACTGAAACAGGAGAGTCTCAAATTGAAGCCTACCCAGGCAATTTAGTGAGACTGTCTCAAAGAAAAATATAAAAAATTAATGCTGGGGATGTATGTAAGTGTGAAGGCCCTGGGTTCAATCCCCAGTACCAGAGTTTAATAATTTTTTGTCTTTTTATAAAGAAAAAGAATTTGTAAATATTTCCTTAGGGGATGTTATTATCTACAATTCACACTTTAAGAACTATCATTTTCTATTGAAATTATATCAAACAGAATGAAATAAAACCTAACCTCTCAAATTTTTCCTATTACACATATAGGCTACATCAATATGTAAATTTCTAAAATTATTTTACCTAGGAAAAAAGTATTATACAACTTAATTATGAAAATTATATTTCAGAAATAGTAGCAATCTTAAATGTATTACACCTTAATGTTATAAATGACAAAGATGTCATTTTGTAAGCTTACATTTATATCTTAATATTTTTTGAATTTTATTAGTATATGTTTGTAGTACATAATGATTACATTCATTGTAGGAAATTGAAACATGTACATAACACATTTTAATTCTTCTTTTTCTACCCTTCCTTCCACTTTCCTTTTATTTTTGCCAGTATTAAATTCATTTATTTATAAAACCTTATAAAGTTAATTATCATATATACAGAATAACAACCTGACTAATAGGCAAAAAACCACATAAGACAATTGTACAAAGTCAAGGTACACATTTAGATATGTTATTCATGCTGGATTATAATACCTTTTTTTCTCTCTTTTATTCTATTATCTTTCTTGAACTTTGTACTTTATTTATATATTAAATTTTTCATATAAGATAAACCATGTAATATTTAGGCTTGTGTGTCCAAGTTACTTCACTTAACATTATGGACTCAAGGTGCATCCATTTTCCTACAACTGACTCGAGTTTATCCTTCTTTACTGCAGAGTAGTACTCCATAGTGTATAAATAACACATTTTTTTATCCATTCATTGGTTGATGGACATATAGCCTGTTTCCAAGATTTTGCTATTATGCATTGTGCTGCTATAAAAATTGGTATGCATAGATTACTGTGATATGATGTCTTTAACTCTTTTGGAAATATATTTTCACTTTCTTCAGCAATATTTAATAGCTTATGTTTATTTGTGACAAAAATCTTAATTTTTCTAACCTTGCTTCAAATTTTCAAACACAGAAAATACTCATGTGGAATGTTAGGTGTACAGTATTTTGTAAAAGTTACCTAAGAGGAAATGAAATTCTTACAAAATAATTCCTAGGGATACAATATGTATTGTAATTTTTTATTTGTGTAGGGGCAGAAATGTGCCATACCTTTTCTTGCCCATCGTAAAAGTCACAGCTGACACTTCTATAACAAGACAAGTTAACCAGAGAAAAGTATATCAAATTTATTTAATCAAAGTTTTGTGTGAAACAAGATCCTTGAGAAATGAAGGCTCAAAGATCCAAAGAAAAGGGTCTATTTTTATGTTGAAGTTCAATGAAGAATGGATAGCCATGTAGAAATGCGATTGGACAAAAGAGTGTGATCTAATGGCTATAGACTGAGGGGGGAAAACCCAGCAAGGACTACCCACATCCTTCCTGAGCTCTCTGGGTTTCATTCAGCACCACACTTCCCACCCTTTCTCCTTGTGTAAGGCAGAACCCCTCTAGAATGAGGGTTCTATGACCTATCTTCAGGTAAGATGGGCCAATGGACTTTTTTCTTTCTTTTAATAATGAGTACGTGCTCATAGTACATAATGATTACATTCATTGGAGTTGGTACATGTACATGACATATTTTAATTCTTTCTTTGCCCCTTTCGCCTCCTTCTTTCTCCTTCCTATCTCTTAGATCCTTTTCCCCTTTTTTTGTAGCTGTCTGTAGTACATAATGATCACGTTCCTTGTAGGAAGTTGGTACAAGTATACAACACATCACAATTCCCTTTTGTAAATCTTTACCTACCCTGCCTTCTTCCTCCATCTCTTAATTCCCTTTCCATTTGCTACAGATCTTTCTTGCTATTTCCTACTGTTTATCTTTATTTTGCTTTTCATTTATATTTAGAGTTCCTCATATAAGAGAAACTATGCAATATTTAAGTTGTGCACCTGATATATTTCACTTAGCATTAATGGCTCGATGTACATTCATTTTTCTACAAATAATTTACGTTTATCTTTCTTTATAGCAGAGTTGTAATCTATTGTCCATGAAGAACACATATTCTTTATCCATTGATCTGCTGATGGACATATAGGCCACTTACAGGATTTAGCTATTATGAATTGTGCTGCTATAAACATGGATTTCTATGTGTCACTGTAATACAGTATCTTCAACTCTTTAGGGAAGATATCTAAAAGGAAAATAGCTGGGCCAGATGGAATTTCTACTTTAAATTCTTTGAGGCATCTCTATAGTGATTTCCATGGTAGTTGTACTAGTTTAAATACCCACTAACAATGAAGAAGTGTTCCTTTTTCCCCTCAGCTCCACCAGCATGTGTTATTATTTTATTTCTTGAGGATTGTCATGTTTTCTGGGGTAAGAGTAAATCTTAGTGCTGTTTTAATTGGAATTTCTCAGAAGGCCAGTGATGTTGAATAGTTTTTCATGTATTAAATGGGAATTTGTACTTTTTTTTTTTTTTTTTTACAAAAGTGTCTGTTTATTTTAGTTGCCCAGTTTTTGATTGGATCTTTTCATTTGGGGGTCAAATTTTTTGAGTTCTTTATTTATTCTAGATATAAGGCCTTTGTCTGATGAGTAATAGGCAAAAATTTCTCTCTCATTCTGTAGGTTGTCTTTTCAATCCGTTGGTTGGTTTCTTTGCTGGTCAGATGATTTTTAATTTTATATGATCCCATTTGTTGATTTTTAGCATTTCTTTTGTGCAGTTGGGGTTCTGATTAGAAAGTCCTTGTATATGCTTAAAACTTTAAGTTTTTCCTATTTTCTGATGGATAGTTTCCTCTGCTATGCAGCAGACTAGTCAGGGAAAGGGAATGGTGTGTGGTGGATGTGGGATTTGCACCTTCTGATAGATTTGCCCAGAAGCCTAGCCAAAAAGAAAGACCCAAGGGAGATGAAGTGACGGCCTTGCAGAGACCTGGGAATGCACATTGCAGTGACAAGCCCTGTGCTCTGTTTCCTACGGATTTCTCCTATAGATTCGTCACTGACATATAGTAATGTCGCTGATGAAAGAAGGAGATAACAAAAGACCTGTGCCTCTCCTCCATCAGCAGATGGAGAACAAACTCAGTAGGAGAATAAAACAGGGAAATACTAAGAAATCTGGGGAGAATGGATCATGGGCCTCCACGCTGGCATGGTTGGACTGATACTCTGTTTTCTAAGGTTTGCATACCATTTCCTAATCTAACAGGAGCAAGGTTCTATGGGAGGGTGAGAAGATTTCTCAGAGTAATGCTCCTTCATGAAGGGAAGGGGTTGTGGGAAGTGTTCTGTCAAAGAGAGCTCCACAGACCAAGTAGAGATCCGTGGCACCTGGAGGAGGGCCAGACACAGAGGAAGTCAGCAAGGCTGTTTGGGTTGACTATTCAAAGTTACAATGAATGATGCTCCCAAAAGTACTCCTGCTACCTACCCTGAGCTCTATAGTTTCACTTCTATGTCAAACGTTCTGCATTGTAACCTTGTAGGTCAATCGAAACTTGGCCAAAAAGTAATTTTTTTGTGTATGAAAATCCCTAAATAAAGAAACTTCTTTGGTAACCCTTTTTGGGCCCCCTTCTAGGTTCATTTTTCAGGAGAACTATTTGCTTTCCCTTCACAATAAGTGCTGCTTTCTGCTCTTGCTCTACAATAAACACGTTTTCTCTGTCTTCTGCTGACTCTAACTTGTAATTCTTTCTGGGCTGAGAGAAGAACCCACTAGCTGGATGGTAACGTCTGGGATTGAATGCAAGACATACTGCCATGTTTGGCCTTGGAAACGGGTCAGGATTAAGGCCAGAATGTGTGGGATGGCCCATACCATTAGAACATGGCTTATGACCTTCAACACTTTAAAAAACTGAGGTGAAGCCAAGCACAGTAGACATGCGTGCTTCTATAACGGGCATCTCTTTGGAATGTGTGTATGAACAGGTATTTGCAGTACCCTCTCACGCTTACAACTGCTTTCTTTTTTTTTTTTTTTAAATCCACGGACCTGAGTCACCAGCCCCTTATTTACAACTACTGGTGTAACAATGCTGTGTAAACTCCAAACTGTTGCCTGACTGACGCCTGATGCCATGATGAATACACAAAGGCAGAAGACATTTCTGTAATTGTGGATGTAGGGCCAACAGGTCATTTATTGCAGGAAGTTCAGGACAGCAGCTCACAAGATCAGAAAAGGCTGAGCAGGGCCTTTGCCACAAGCCTGGAGGCCTGCAGAGTGCACTGTAAAGTCACTCAGCCATCACAGTGGATGACACCACAATGGGCTCTGCACTAGGAGCCCAGGCCATCCGTGCCCTGAGCTCATTTCTCCTGAGGGTCTGTAGTGGCTGGAAGGGCTTTGGTGTTGTTCTAAATAGTTAAAGTAGAATGGGGTTTCCTTTTTTTAAGTGCTGAATTCTTAGGAATATTGGCTTGTATCTGTGGAAAGGTTTTCAATAACACTTTCTTTCCTTTCCAGGTCACATTATTCTAAGAAAATCGAAGTGTGTCAGCCTCTCCCAGTGTGAGTAGAGACTCAAGCGCAGACAGATCTCCAACCCCGATTTTTTTCTCCTGCTGGTATGTAACACGCTTCTCAGTTGTACTTGGATTGTGTTCATCAAGCCCCTCTGAGCAGTAGGCTCTGTTTCAGTGGTCATCCTCTCAGGGAACTTCCTGTGTTCCTCTCTGGGTATGTGCTGTGTCCACTTACACTCATCAGCTATCACTGTGAAGTATGGTAGTGTGGGAAAGCTGCCAGTGTGGTTGGAACGACCAAGCTATTTGATAAGCTCCACCACCCGGAGTTCAGGTCGGGCTCAAAGCCAATATGTAACCAGAGCCGAATGCCTTGCCTTTTAGAGGCATGCCTTTCTGAAATGCCTTAGTCCAGCTTCTTCTGCCACTGTGGAAGTTT